TGCTTTTCTCCACCCACCCACCCACAGATTTGCAGCCCAGAAAGCTGCAAATAACCCCTCTGGCAGGGAGCTCTGCTGTAATCAGGGACTGCATGCCATGTCAAAGGCATTGATCACCACAGTGATTTTGGAGGCTTAACACCCTCCCAGAGAGCCAGAGATGTGAAGGAAGGGAAGAAAAAAACAAACCCCTCACTTGCAGACTAATTTAATCCTCCTTTTGACGTCCAAGAAATGCTACTGGTGCCCCGCTGTGAAAGAATAATAAGATTGAGGTTCTCTCCCTGCTGGCTCTAATTAAACTGGGAGGCTTCATCACGGGAGGAGAGGAGGAGGAGGAGGGACTGTGCCATCCATGGCAGCTCCATCCCTATCCCCACGCTCCCAAATCCGTCAGGCAGGAAGACAGACGAATGCAGATTCCCCCACGGCGCTAGCTGAGAGACGAGCCAGGAGAAGCCCTCGCCAGCTCCTTGTTTAACCTAGAGCTTCACAACGCGACTGGAAGCCAAGTTTCCATCGTGCATCTCCTGGTGCTGCCTGCAAAGAGCCTGTGAAGGCTGGCAAGCAGCGGCTGACTTGCTCGGGGGGGCATGAAGTTCACCAGGAAGCTCACCCTTTGCTTGCAGGATGGGAGACGGAGGAAGGGTCCACGCGTTGCTTGTAGCATCCAGCTTGGCTCGAGTAAGGCGTAAGATGGTCAGTGAGATGCTGCTGGTGCACAGCCCAGCCCAGCTGCCTCCCAGGAGCGGCTCGGGGGCTTTTTTGAGGATGTGGTGACAATTCTTCTGCATTTTTATTTCTTGAACAGCCAAGTGAAGACTCAGGACATGTCTCTCTTCCCCTGGTTGGGGACCTAACCGCTCGCAAAGGCTGCAACCAGATGGATGTGAAGCCAGGGGAGGGACTGGCAAAGCAAGACATGGAAATCCTTAACCAAATTCACTAGCCCAAATATTCTCTTGCAGGCTTATGCTGAAGCGGATCAGCTGGCTTGGTGTGAAAGATGAGAACAAGTCTATACTCTCTGGTTTCTTTAATCTCCCAGCCCTGCCAGGATGGGACAGATACTAAAACATTAAACCTGAAGCAAGCCCTGCCGCAGCTCGAGGTGGGGAGCAGGGTGCAGCGGCAGAGCAGAAGCCCTCAGCCGCACCGCCACAGCACCCGAAGCTGAACGTTTCCTACAGCAAATATTAACACAAGGTGATGTAGTTGGGCGCCACGGCCCAGCGAGATAAAAAACTGCTTAAAAACGGGACGGCTGTTTACCTGGCATCCCCACCAAACCACACCGCAGGGTGGGGGAAGAGGGCCGAAGCAGACGGTGCACGCAAACTCCAGCAGAGATGCCAGGAATCAACCCCTCGCTTCCCATCCATGTTTAATTAAAAGGATACTGGCAGTTAAAACATGTCCTAGATAGCTCTGACCTGAGATCAGCGTGTGGGGAGGTGCTTTTAATTCAAGGCTGGTGCAGGGCTCCCGTGCCGGGGTGCAGCGGCTCCCTCCCCAGCGAGCATCATCCAGCCTGCTTCGTCTGCAGGAGAAGGAATCCAGAGGGATGGGATACGGCCACTTCTGGCCACCAAGGGGCTGCTCCTGGCCCTGCTTTGCAGTTTCTGCAGCCTCATTTTAAAGAACATCGACTCACGGGGGGCTTCCATCGGTTTCCTTCGCAGGGGTGTGGGAACACGAATGATATCCGACTTCCCCTCGCTGTTCCAAGCCCACCCAAGGACTTGCGCACGGTAGAAGATCTTCGGAAATGAAAACCCTATTGTTTAAATGGACTCCTGCGGCAGGAGGTTGGCTAGGGGGAGAGGCAGGAATGGCATGTGTACCCAGAGCGGGCAGAAAGGCGCGATGGGGAGGGCTCCTCTTTTACAGCTGGGGGAGAAGCAAGGGAGGGCTACGCAGCCGCTCCTAGCTCACGCCGCAACATCCACGTGCCTCTCCTCAAAACCCACCGTTCCTTCATCTCATCTGCTCAACTGCTGCTCAGCTCCAGGACAAGCTGGCAGT